CGTCTGCACCCGTATCTATTAAAAATGTGGCTGTTTTAGATCTGAACTCGTCCGCGGATAATCTAATAACGGGTGAATCGCGACTGGATCGAATATCTAATATTGTTGGCTTTCTTCGAGATATCGTACTGTTGGATGACGCACTGGATTCTGGTAACTCTTCGTCGCGTCGTTCCGAAGGGCTACACGGGAGTTTAAATCTGACTGTGATGGCGGTTGTGGTGAAGAAAAACGAACGCGGTTCGGTGAAGTCGTATTCTCGGAATGAGATGGTTTATGTTGTAAAAATTTTGAATTTGCAAGGGGTGTATGAGGAATCGGGCTTGAAATTCGTGAAGGTCCAGCAGAAGTTGTTTGATACTCGGAATAAGGATTAGCTGGTCTATGGGGATCATATGGGTTTGGAGGATAATAAGGAGGATAAGGCATCGGGTAATATGGTGGATAGGGAAAATATGGATGAGGTGGATAATATGGAAAATTTGGTTGGTATTTAAACTGCTCGGAAGGGTTTCGTGGAGGTTTAAGAATTCCTGTTGGTAATTCTGAAGGTTCAGCATTTCTACGGGGAATCGGACTTGGGCTTCGAGATCGATTGCGATAAAGGGAAAAATGTGTCTGTGTTTCCTGCTGATTAGGGGAAATTGACCCAGAATTTTGATAAGATTCGTTTTGTCGAGACAGGAATAATTTATTGAACTCATCGCGAGCAAATATTCCGGATTTTTCACGTGTTTCTATTTGTGTCGCGTGTTCTGCTGCCTCTTCTAAATTTTTAGGATTGCGTGCGTCTACAGAACGCGCTATACCGTCTGGCAAACCTCTAAGAAATGCTTCGAGAGCACATTCTAGTACAGGCTGAATCATTTTTTCCGCGTCGTCACCATAGGTGTCTATTAATGCATGTCGAGCGCCACTAATTAGAATATTTAACCGGTCATAAAAATCACTTACGGATTCATCCCTACGCATTCGAATTTTGACAATTTCATTTTGAAAATAAGGAAAAGATTTTCCCGGAGCAAACTTTTTCTTTAGGTGCTTAATTAAGTCGTTTAATGAGCTAAATGTTTTGCCGAAAGTACTATCGCGTGCGGATCCTTGTAATTTTCCTATAACTGCTTTAACGTACGCTCCTTCGCTTGCCGGCGGCACATAAACTGCACCGTTTTGGACATCTTGCAAAAAGTCTTTTAATGGCATATTTTTCCCATCGAAAAACGGTATATTTAATGTTCCATATTGTAAGGTAAAGCATTCTGCCATGGATGTTAACATCGCGTTTGTGACGTTTAAATCGGAATTATTGGTTGAAGTTGTGTTTGTAGTATAATGTGATGAAGTCATTTTTAATACTATTAATATTTAATCAGACAGAAATAGGATATATATATGTGGGTATTTGTTCAAAACGATCTTTATTTAAATATTAAAAGTGACTAGGAACTAATTTTAAGACTATTTGAATAACAGCTACGCTCAAACTGATATAACTTAGAACGACAACTTAAAACAACAACTTAAAATGACAACTTAAAGCGACTTGTTACGGCAACGTCTTGTCAAGTGAGTCTCCTTTTTCCTCTCGAAACATCCCTTTTTAAAACCTTTTCCGCCCCACCATTCAAGCTTCTTTCGGGCGCGTACATGACCAAATATGGTCATGCTTGCGTTTCGCACCCCTGCGCGAGAGGACCTCGAACGCGTCACTGGGCCCGCTGACCCAGGGGTTTTTCCCGTCCCTTTCGACCTGTAACGCTTTCTCTTTTAACCTATATGTAGTTCTTACTCCGCTCAAGTTCCTCGCATTTCCCGATACCACACTCGGCCATTCTGATACAGGACATCTGCCCTCAGATGTCTTCACTGTCACTCGACGCACTTTCACTATCTTCGACTAGGTCATCTTCCTCGTTTCCAACCCATGGCTTCATGTAGTCGGCTGCCGTTGACGTTGTTCGCGGACCTTCGTGGTCCCCGACCTTCTGCACCATGTAACGATTACTCCGTAAAACTTTTGTTACAGAGTAAGGTCCAAGATACTTCGCATGGAATTTCATCCCTGGAGTAGCCTGCGTCCTCTTGATTGCAACCAGCTGGCCCTGCTTGTACTCTGTTGCTTCTTTTCGATTCTTATTGAATGATTTCCTACTTTGCGCTTGAACTTCAGCAATCTTTTCTTTCGCTCGTGCTCGCACCCCATCGCGTTCCTCGTTGAACATCGTAATCCACTCATCTTCTATCATTTGTCTGATTTCAGGATCTTCTCTTATTCTCATATGTGTTCCGAATAATAAACGGAAGGGCGTCGTATTGGTGCTTCTACTCGGTGTAGCGTTTAAATACTTCTGTGCCAGGTCGAGTTGTTTATACCATTGTTCCGGTTTCGGTGCAGCTAATTTAGTTAATAACGGTATTAATGTTCTATTAATTCTTTCAATTTGTCCGTTTGCTCGCGGCATTCCTGTCGTTATCAACACGTGGCAAATCCCTTCTTGCTTGCAATAGTCTTCAAAGGCGTCGGACGTGAAACTTGTACCGCGGTCAGAAATAATCCTTCTTGGGTTTCCGAACACTGCAGATTGTTTTTCTAATCGAACAATAACTTCAGCTGAACTCGTCGATTTTGTTGCGTACAACCATACGAACTTGGTGAACGCATCAATAACAGCAAAAATATGTCTATAAGATTTTTTCGTCGAGGGTAGTGGACCCAGATGATCGACGTGATAGGTATCAAACGGTAACTCTCCCTTATCAATACTATTTAAAAGTCCTTCTTGTTTACCGTGTTTTCGCTCTGCTAAAATACAATTCACACAATTACGCACAACTTTTTCTACCTGCTGTCTCATTCCTTTAAACCAATAATCCCTCTTCAATAGAGCCTCGGTTTTGGTCACCCCAAAGTGACCGCGCTCGTGGGCTCGACGTACTACCTGCACTTGCATTTGTTTAGGTACGATTACTAACGGAACATCGTTCACTTCTTTATACAACATACCATTTCGCACAACATAACCATTCGCTTGATGCTGTTCGATATTGTCTCGAATTTCGCGCAAACTAATGTCTTCTTCTTGAGATTTACGCAATCTAACAATAATCCCATCATCACTCTCATCTATTGACATAACCGCAGGTAACGGGTTCCTACTTAATACATCAACGTGTACCATGCTTTTACCCGGCCTGTGTTCAACTTTATATCGGAATTCTTCGAGAAGGAGTGCCCATCTAGCTACGCGCACACACAGATCTTTCTTATTCATTGTTAACATGAATGCCTGACAATCTGTAACAATCTTAAATGATATTCCTAGTAAATAAACACGAAATTTCTTTAAAGCTTTTATAATTGCTAAGAATTCAAGTTCATAGCTGGAATACTTCTCTTCGGCTGGTGAAGTTTTCCCACTTGCGTAATAAACTGGATGAAAAGCACCATCCTCGTTATCGCGTTGCAATAAAATTGCTCCATACCCTAAGCTAGACGCATCGGTGTGCAATTCAGTTTCGGCGCCGGTACTATATAATCTCAAAACTGGTGTACTGCTCAGAATTAACTTAAGTTTATTGAACGCTTCTTGCTCTAACGCCTCAAATTTAAATTTATCACTCTTTCTTAGCAAATTCGACAACGGTCTTGCAATAACAGAATACTGACGAATAAATTTTCTGAAGTATCCCGTTAAACCTAAGAAACTTTGAATATCTCTTATACAACGTGGTTTCGGAAATTTTATTACGGCCTTGGTCTTATGCTCCGACGGCCGAACGCATCCGTTATCAACAATATGCCCTAAATATTCTGCTCTCGTTCGCAAAAAATCACACTTGCTCCAATTAATCAGTAACCCATACTGAGACGCTACGTTCAACACGCTTCTTAGGTTCTCAACTGCACTTGCTATATCATTAGCTACGACTATTATATCATCCAAGTATATACGAGCGATGCCGGTTACTATTACCTCCCTGAATACTGCGTTAATAAATTTTTGAAAGACGGCTGGCGAATTGCAAAGCCCGAACGGCACCTTTAAAAATTCGTAATGGCCGGTAGGCACAATGAAGGCTGTATATTTTCGACTACAGTGGAACCTCGCATAACGAGCATAATTCGTTCCGGAGTCTTACTCGTAACGCGAAACACTCGTTAAGCGAAACAATTTTTACCATATAAATTGATGTAAAATACGATAATGCGTTCTATGCCGAAAAAAATACTCCAAATTTGAAATTTTCAAAAAAGTACTCAAAAAAACGTTATGTATAATATTTATTCAAAGAAAAATACATGTAAATGGTTAATAAGCGTGATTCATTGTCATCTTTTCTTAGTAACATACCTAATTTCTTTTTACTAGAAAGCTGTCTAGAGACATTTGTTTTTGCCGACCCTTCAAAATTTGATAAAAATGTGACACCGCATTATCATTGAATATATTTGTAGCGCGCATAGCCACTGTCTTATTAGGGTGATGCTTCTTAATGTACGAAGCAACACTTTCCCATGCTTTTAGCATTTCTCTTATTTCGCCAGAAGATTGTTGCTTTGTTGTTACCTCCTCCTCCTCCACACCTTCTTGCTGTGAAGCAGAATGCAACTCCATAAGCTCTTCAGTGGTCAGCTCTTGACTGTGCTCTTCTATAAGCTCATCGATATCGTTGTGATCCACCTCCAGCCCCAACATATTGGACAGAGACACAATCTCATTGACTACAGGGTCCTCAGATACTACAACGGTCTCAAACCCCACAACGTCACATTCGACAACGCTCTCTGGCCAAAGCTTCTTCCAAGCAGAAGTGAGAGTTCTCTTGGTAACTCCTTCCCACGCCTTTTCGATCATCTTGAGGCAGGCAACAATGTGGAAGTGATATTTCCAAAACTCTGTAAGAGTGAGATTGGTCCCTTCAGTCACCTCAAAACAACGCTCAAAGAGTGCTTTTGTATAGAGCTTCTTAAAATTAGAAATAACCTGCTGGTCCATTGGCTAGAGTAACGGAGTTGTGTTGGGAGGCAGAAACTGGATCTTGATGAAATTGTATTCTTCAAGGAGATCATTTTGTAGGCTTGGAGGATGAGCAGGTGCGTTGTCCATAACAAGCAAGACATGGAGTGGAAGATTCATCTCAAGCAAATATTTTTTCACAGAAGGACCAAACACTTCATTAATCCAATCAGTAAAAATGTCGCGTGTCACCCAAGCCTTCTTGTTGGATCTCCACATCACATTTAGCTTGCTCCTCTGAACTTTACACTTCTTGAATGCTCGTGGAGTTTCTGAATGGTATATAAGTAGCGGTTTAATTTTCAAATCACCGCTTGCATTGGCACAAAATAGCAGCGTGAGGCGGTCTTTCATTGGCTTCTCTTCTGCTGTTATATATGTTCGCTTCGGCATCTTTTTCCAGAAGAGACCCGTCTCGTCACAATTAAAAACTTGTTGCGGCAAATAACCCTCAGAATCTACGAGCTTCTTGAAGTCGGCGATGAAGTTCTCTGCTGCCTTTGTGTCGGAGCTTGCTGCTTCGCCGTGCGTCACAACGCTGTGGATACCTGTTCTTCTCTTAAACTTCTCAAACCACCCACGACTTGCCTTAAATTGTACTTCTTCTCTGGCCGTTGATGATCCTGGCGTCTTCTTAACGAGGTCGGCGAAAATCACTTTCGCCTTCTCACAAATTATGCTTTCGTTAATTGTGTCGCCTTGCAATTGCTTTTCGTTTATCCATATGAGCAGCAACCTTTCAACATCGTCGAGAATACGTAACCTTTGCGTAGATATTCTTGTCACTCCCTTTGAAGCATCTACCTCCATAATCTTGCCCTTGTTCTTGAGAATGGTGCAAATGGTTGATGTAGACCGATTGTATGTGCGTGCTAAATCAGCCACGCTCACACCTCGTTTTTGTTTTTCAATGATTTTACGTTTTATTTTGAAGGTTATTTTTAGTCTCTTATACAAGGTGCTCTCTTGCGGCTTTTTCTTCGGGGACATTTTGTAAGGGGATGTTGGGGTATAATTTAGTATACGAGACGGCTTGTCTTGGTTTTGTGAGAGGAAATCTTTATTATACATATGCTGTGGTCAACTATCTTGTAACGACTGACCGATTCCGCCACGACACGCGGCCGCTCGGACCTCCCCTTCGCTTAAACAAAAACGCATCAGGACTCTGGAAATTTCCAGAGTCCACGTGTGGAATTTTTATACTTCCACACTCTCCCTAAAATTTCACACGACGATTACATAGTAACTCTTTTTTACTTACTAATCCTAATTTTAAACGCATAAATTCAAATCTTGATTTTGCAAGTGGTTTTGTTAAAATGTCCGCGCATTGATCTTCACTCTTTACATATTTAACATTAATTATTCCTCGCTCATAACTTCGTGTAACAAACGCGTGAGCCATACTATCTCCTTTGCAGCGATAGCCGCGCTTACATATTCTGCTTCTGTGGTAGACTGTGCAACACATTGTTGCTTTTTACTCTGCCACGTTATTGCAGCCTCGCCAAACTTACATAGAATACCGCTTGTTGATTTTCTATTGGTTTTATCACTTGCAAAATCCGCGTCACTAAAACATTCTAATTTCCCTTCCGTTTTATAATATAAACCTATATCTATTGTTCCTTTTATATACCGCAAAATACGTTTTACTAAACGCCAGTGGGCATTCGTAGGTTTTTCCAATGACCTAGATGCCACATTTACTGCGAATGCTAATCAGGTCGTGTGACTACTTGTAAATACATTAAATGTCCTACCGCCTCACGATATGGTACTTCAACTTCATCTATACTATCTAGATCACTAGTGTCCCATCCTGTATCCATAGGCGTAGACACCGGCTTAGCATCAGTCATTTTAAAACGTTCTAATGTCTTTTGTATATAGCCTGATTGATTTATGAAAATGGTACCATCACAGATTTTAGTTATTTCAATTCCTAAGAAACTTTTGACATCCGTCGTTGTTTTCACCTTAAACCTACCCTGTAGCTTACACATGAAAGAGTCGATTTCCTTTTCATGATTTGCAGCTATTAGGCCATCATCCACCCATAAAACTAAGAAAAATTTCATATCATCTTTAACTTTATAAAATAGACACGGATCGGCGTTACTCTTCCTTAAACCGCACTTTGTCAAAAAATTCATAAAGCATTTTGACCATTGCCTCGGAGCTTGCTTTAGACCGTACAAACTCTTTAACAGTTTACATACGCGTCCCGTTCCATCCTGAAAACCTCTCGGCTGCTGCATATAAATTTCTTCATTTATCGTACCATATAAAAACGCGGTTTTTATATCGAATTGTCGTAAATACAATTTTTCTTGAGCAACAATACTAAGCAAAGTTCTTACGGTATCAAAACGGACCACAGGGCTGAACGTCTCGTAGTAATCGACTCCTTCCTTTTGTGAGCAACCTTTTATAACGAACCTTGCTTTATATCGGGTTTCATTTGAATCTGAATCTGTTTTGCAACGAAAAACCCATCGATTTCGAAAAACCTTCTTTTCTTTTGGTTTTTCAACCAAAACATACGTATTATTTTCATGTAATGATTCCATTTCCTCGTTCATGGCCTCTTTCCATTTTTCCGCATCTTTTGTGTTTATCGCTTCTTCATAATCTATTGGCTCCGCATTAGCCAAAATCGCAATAGGATTTCCGTAAAATTCTGTTTTCTTTAATTTTGTTCGATCTCTTAATTTCCTAGTGTGCACTTTTTGATCGGTTATCTTTTGCACAGAATTATCGTTCTCTGGACTCTCATTATAGCTCGACTCACTACTTTTAGACTCTGTTTCATTTGTGCTTTCATTGGATTTATCACCTTGTTTTTCTAATTCAATCACTACTTCGGTTTTACATACTTTCTCATCTTTAAATAAAACATCTCTACTCATTACAACATCACGTACTTCAGGAATCCAGATACGATAACCCTGTACATTTTCAGAATATCCTACAAAGTAACCTTTATAAGCTTTCTTATCCAGTTTCTTTCTCTTTTCTTTAGGAATGTGCACGAAACATTCTGTACCAAAAACTTTTAAATGATTTACGTTCGCTGTCTTATCAAACCATAATTCAAAAGGCGTTTTATTTTCTACTTTAGTTGGTCCTGTGTAGTTTAATACATGTACAGCACAATTAATCGCTTCCGCCCACAAAAATTTCGGCAAATCCGGCTTCGAAAACAACATTGAACGCGCCGCTTCCACTACGATTCTATTTTCACGCTCGGCGGTTCTGTTCTGTTCCGGTGTGTATGGAATAGTAACAGCGTGTCTTATACCTAATTCTTGTAAAAAATTACTAACTTCTTCGTTTACATATTCTTTCCCTCCGTTGGTACGTAATTCTTTAATGTTATTGCCAAAACGCGTTTTTACCTCATTGCAGAAAATTTTAATTTTTCCCTTCACTTCGGATTTATTATGTAAAAAATAAACTTTCCGATAACTGCTATAATCATCTTTAAAAATAACATAGTATTTACTTTTACCCAGCGATTCTACAGGCATCGGTCCGCATACATCGGAATGTATCAATTCTCGTGCCGCTGTTGCACGTTCAATTTTCTTTCCGAAGGGTAACCTGTGATGCTTACCATACGCACAACCGTCACAAAATTCGCTATCTACCGTTACATCTATTCCTCTATCTTTGAGAAAAGACTTTACATGGCGTTTGTTCTGATGACAGAGCCTTTCATGCCATAATTGCAATGTGTCAACTTTATTCGCTGTGCACGCTACACTCGGAACTAAAACCTGCAAATCGATTCTATATAATTTCCCGATTTCTATTCCTACAGCTACAACCTTATTTTTACACGTAAATATGCATTCTTTGCCTTTTTTAGTAAGCGAAAAATCTACGCCCTTTTTTGCGGCAGCTCTTACAGAAAATAGATTATGTTTCATACACGGTACATACAAGACATCGTATAAAATTCCTTCTAGCTGTTTTCCGTTTACATTCGTTTTGATTCGTACATTACCTTGGCCAATTGCTGACACTTTCTCACCGTTACCGATGTAAATCTTTACCGATTCCTTAAGCCGTTGATACTCGGTGAACCACTCTCGTCGATTCGTCATATGGTCTGACGCACCTAAGTCAATTAGCCAATAATCGTCATCGTCTTCCTGTCTTGTACATCCTGTGAATGCCTGCGCTGAATCGTGCGACGAATCCTCACTCCTCTTGCGTTCGTTCTTCTTTCCTTCGCCCTTTCTTACCGTGCAGTTTCTCGCCATATGATCCTTTGATCCACATTCGAAACAGCCTCTACAATTTTGTTGCTTATGACCCTTCAAGCCACATGCATGACAGATACTTGTCTTCCCTTTCCAATGAATTTTCCTTTCTGCGTTGCTCGTGGTTTTCTTCGTGGAATTAGCTCGCAGATTCATTTTTGAAAGTAAGGCCGTTGTGGATTCTTCCGTGTCGTCCCTTTTCTGCATGCGTAATTCTTCGGTCATGAGTCTCGCCGTTAGATTTTCAACCGTTCTTTTGTTTTCTGCCGTTGAATCCCATGCACTATGAAAATAATTAAACTTTGGTGGCAACGTCGAAAGAATTTTTGTAACCAGCATAGAAGAAGGTAATTCTCCACCAAGTGCTTTCATTTTACTCGCCATTTGTTCGAGTTTCGATATATGCTGTGCCACATTTCCTGCAGGATCCCAACGAAATTCAAAAAATTCCTTTTGAATCAAAGACAGACTTTCATCTGATTTCATGTCAAAGACATTGTGTAGCTTTTGCCACATGTCTTTTGCCGTATCACAATTCATTATTAATCGCAATGGCTTTGATTCAAGCGTGGTAACGATTAGTTTGTTCGCTTCTTTATTAGCATTATTCCATCTGGTCAACATTATTTTCAATTTTCACTTCCTTCCTCGGACTTGATGAATGTGCCATCGCACACTTCCAGCAGATCGTTACTTTCCATCAGAGTACGTATGACAAATCGCCATTCTTGCCAATTATCGGCATTTCTTAACTTCTCGACCTTAATCCTGCCGATATCCATACTTTTTGACTTGCGAACGTACTAGGAATTTTTTCCAACACTAACGAAAAAACACACAGAGACGAGCCGTTAAAAAAAACTTCTTAAATACACTTTCCACAGCTTATTTTCTTTTTCCTTTTCACCTCACTTCCACTAGCACCCCTGGGCCCATAACCTGTTGGGGTATAATTTAGTATACGAGACGGCTTGTCTTGGTTTTGTGAGAGGAAATCTTTATTATACATATGCTGTGGTCAACTATCTTGTAACGACTGACCGATTCCGCCACGACACGCGGCCGCTCGGACCTCCCCTTCGCTTAAACAAAAACGCATCAGGACTCTGGAAATTTCCAGAGTCCACGTGTGGAATTTTTATACTTCCACAGGGGATGGCCGGGATTCGTGGTAAAGTGCAACTGTTGCGGCGCGCGGAATCCGTCAAGTAAATTCGCCACTCAACGTCGGGCTCGCGTCGTTCCGAAGTAAACTAATAACTCGGATGGAGGAATAACGAGGATGTAGCTTTGGTTGGTTATTTAGGTTTATTAATACTGCACGCGACTTCTATTTACAAAAGATGCGAATGATCGACGATGCCTGTATCGTAGGCGTAAGAAGTTAGAGTTTAATGGTCGTTGTTAGGCTGATGTTTCAGAATGAAGTCTCAGAACGAAGTGAAGATTTTTGCCTCGCTTGGCCTTTTCTTAAACTCCCATGCCGTCTCCTCCCTTCCAAATCACCCTTACGCGATGCCCTTGGAAGGGCGTGCGTGTCGCGTGGGAGTGTGGAAATTTCGAGACGATGTCGCTGAATTTGTTGCTCTCCTGATCCTTGTAATACTTAGCGAAAAATAGAGCCAGTGTTTTTATGCGGAGGTCTGGGCTGGCCTGCAGATGCCGGAGTTTCAACCTGCACGCTGCCGACGAAACCCAGGCCCCGTCATAAACCAT